TGCCACCCCTGTAGCCCCCCCCGCCCCCGCTGCCAAAATCTTGCCACGCAAACCCACTACAGCTCAGATTAACATACATTAGATTACTATCAGTCATTAGAAATACCCAAACTCTAATTGCAAAAGTATCAGTCTTTCTAAGTTCTCTTTCAATAATTACATTCAAATACTTAGATCTTCTTTTAGTTTTTGAGAAAGGACAATATTTTCTCCGGCCTTAAACTTGCTCCATAGCTGTGTATTGCCACTATGGTTTAATGATGCAAGTAATGCTAATTGTTTCAACAGTAAACTAAATGTTTTTGTACTAACATGGAGTTGTGTGAGTGTAAAGTGCTATTATGAATATGCTTATCTTAGCTTTCCTGAAAGATTATAGATCTCATTAAAATACCAGTGTTCTTTTGTAATTAGCAGATTATTATACTGTTGTTATTGAATGAGGCTTATGTTTTCAGTACTTTTTTATAATTTTAGGTCATTGCAACCATCCCAACAAGTAGGCTAAAGTTTTTAAAGGAGGCAGGGAGGCTCACTGAGAAGGAGGAAGTCCCTGAAGAAGAACTCAATGAAGATGTTGAAGAAATTGATCATGCAGAGAGAGAACTTCGACGTGGACAAATTCTCTGGTTCAGAGGGCTCAACAGAATCCAAACCCAGGTATGCCGAAAGTAAATGCCCACACGGTCTAGCGAAAAAATGCTTAATCTTTGATCAAGGCAAGATAATGTTATAGGGGAAGCCACACAGTGTGTGTGTGAACGATGGTACTTGTTAATTATTTCACTGTTTTCAAAGGAGGAGCACATGAAAAAGTAAAATAGGTGAACTGAACAAAGGGGGGGTGTGTGTATAGGAGAAGAGATAAAGTTAAAAGATTATAAAATGGTAATATGCAAAAATAGGAATACTTTTTTTCAGTACTGTGAGTGGACATCCTTTTTCTACTTCAGTGATGACAGCTCATAAAATAGTGCTACTTGGAAAATGCTAACAAAATGTTATGAAGGCTTTCTAAAATGTACTGGTTTGTTTTGTCAAAAATATATTGTTGCTGCCACTTTTGCAATAGCAGAATAATTTAAATTGTTGAGTCTAAAGTATAAAGTATCATTTGATTTTTAAAAAAAAAAAAATCTATTCTGGCATGACCATATTTATGTCACGATTAAAAGGAATTTATTTTCTTTCCCATTAGGTAAGAAAAATGTGGTTCTGGATTTATTTTTAGTAGTAATGGCCTAACCATCCATTAAATACTGACATGTATGTGTTGGTTACAATGGATCATTTCTTAGAAATCTCTTTTTATTTTAAAAAAACCGCCAACTTTTGCTAAATACAAAAAATCCATGGTATTTTATAATACATTAAATATTTTCACTGAGTCATGGTGCTAAATACAGTACAGATTAAGATATCTAGTAAAATTTGTCCTACAGTGCTAAAAAATTATTTGAACTATTTGCCTTTTTCATTGCAGTGAAGTAGTATGTTTTATAGCACTCCAGTGCTCTCTACTTGATCTTTCTAAGATCAAGTATTTGTGCCAGCTTGTAGAAGAGTGCAACTCTAAAAGACAGATATGTACTTGACTTATCAGATGTGAATGTTTTACATGATGCTTGCAAGGAAAAAAAGTGAATAATTAGGAAAAATATTTTTTTTCTTTGAAAAATCTTTTAAAGAACATTTTTATCTCAGAAGATTTTGTTTTTTGTCTTCATTCAAGATAAACAGTCCTTCCTGGCCTTAAATGGCTTTAAACTGAAGAAAGATAGATCTAGATTAGATCTGAGGAAGAAAGTCTTCCCTGTGAGGGAACTGGTGAGGCCCTGGCACAGGTTGCCCAGAGCAGCTGTGGCTGCCCCTGGTTCCCTGGCAGTGTCCAAGGCCAGGCTGGATGGGGCTTTGGGCAACCTGGGCTGGTGGAGGGTGTCCCTGCCCATCATGGCAGGGGGTAGGAACTAGATGGTCCCTTCCAACCCAGGCCATTCCAGGATTCTTCCTTTTTCCATCTACACATTGATATATTTTTTCTGGAGAAAAAGATGCAGCCATGCATTGTAGACAAAAACAGGGGAAAGCAGTTAACTAAAACTAGAACAGTTCAGTCTCTTTAGTGCATCCACAGAACAAAAAAGAAAGAGGGTGGAAACTGGGTTTGGGTAAATTCCTAAGGTTCTGTGGTAAGTAATTAAATACGGATCTTCAGCTTTGGGGTTGTGTGTCTTGACTCTATTGAGTCAGGAGCACTCATCATTAGAGAAAATTCAAATTGTCACGGTATAAAGGTGACAGACAGGTGCCCAGGTAATAGTGATCTTTATGAAAAGATGACCTCTAAATGTGCATTCTTTTCTTCCTGATGGCTACAGGAGGAGTGTTGTCTGTTGGCATTTCTGTCAGGATGTCTTTCTGGTTGTGGTGAGTGTAAACAGCTACAAGCACAAAAAAGCAAATTACATCCTTTCAGTTCTTTTTCTAGTCTGAGAGGTAGCTTTTAGTTCTTCTGCATATCTTTGTCCACTTAATTCACAAATAAATTATTATTCTTTTATACTATTTAAAACAAAATGAACATTAATTATATTTCTTTGCTAACATCCATCATCTTAATTTCCTTTCTGCTCCTAGTTGTAGAAATATCTTCGGTAGGAAGAATTGTTTCTCTCCTGCCAAGAGATTTTTTTTTTTCTCATTTTGTTTATTCAGTGACTTTGATTTTTACATCCATTTCACATCTTTGGAATGATAATGAAAAAAGGAAGTGGGCCAACAGATTCAAAAGGACTTCCAAGGTGTCCACTGGAGAGTGATGAACTCATATGCAGGCCAAATTAGATCCATTGTTGGATGGACCTTGAGTTGAGTGCACTGTGATGCACTGTGTGTTGTGGCCCATCCAAATGAATTCATACACTTGTACTACATTTCTCAGGAAGCCAACTAAAGAAGAGTTGATGGAAGAAGATGAGGATGTCTATAGCATCCTTGGGGAGCTGGAGGATTTGCAAGAATCCTCTGATGTCTAATGCACTTCTGGAGATGCGGAAGAAGAAGGTAGAGCATCCCGTCACTTTGTATATATAAGAGGATGACAGTAAGATTAGGAATAAACTCTAGACTCTCTCACAACTAGATTGATCATTCAAATCCTAATGAGACGAGTTTCCGCCATCATACACTTGTGCTGTATATTAGTTTATTTTGGCTTATTTTCTATTCAGTCATTATTGGACAGATAGCCACAGCACTCAACAAAAGCCTTCACTCCTAAAAAAGTTACGAAGAATCTATGATAGGTTTGGAGTTTTTTCCAGATAATTGACAGATCTCCCTTGTAATGCTCCAATAAAAACTCATCCAAACTGACAAAAACTTTTTTTTTTTCTTTTTTCATGCCCTCTCTCAAAACGGAGGGTTCAAACGAAACCACCACAGAAAGGATTTCCACTGTTGATTCTTCATACCGAAATGTCAGACATAGTACTATGAAGACATGCATGAATTTACTTTAAAGAAAGGTGTATGAAAAATGCACATAATTTAGTCAAAGATACTGGCTATCTACTTCTGATTTTCTTTTTTTGTCCACTTTTGTTCATGTAGATATTTGTTGTCTTATAAATGTACTGTAGGGCTTCTCTGGATGGATGCATGTTCTTCTCTGAATGGAAGAATGTTTCCTGACTGGATAGCTCTCTCAGAGGACCATTGATATATGAAGTTTTACAAATAACTCATCCTAGTTATGCAAGTTTCAGAAAGATATAAAGGTGATCTCAAATTGCGTAAAAGACAGGACTTTTCAAACTCTGCTAGTTTTCAGCAATTTTTTCCAAGTCTTTATTGCAGTTCTCACAAATTCTTCATTCTGAAGGAATAAAAGAGTTGAGAGAAGACTGATCTTACCATCTTCACAGATCTAATAGCCTTTGGAAACTTCAGCAAGTTCACCTTCAGGCAAAACTGTATAATCTGAGTAACAACAGAAAATCATTGCATCTTTTTTAATTGTATAGTGAAAAGTTTCTGTAGTAAGCTCACATTTTAGTATAGAAAAATTGTTAAATGTGGAGGTTTGAAAACTTTTCAAGCTGCATGTCAGATTTTTAGAACACTGGGCCCGATTCTTTCCTTCTCTGCTTCGTTCATCCAGTAATTCAGTTTGCTTTACCTGCTTAAGGTGGGAAATAACTGTCTAGAAATGTTTTAATAAAAACAAAACCAGAAAAATATACAGGTACCATATTAACTGCTATTGAAAAAAAGATTCCTTTTTAGATACTAAAAAAACCATAGAGGTGGTGTACTGCATTTTTTTTCCCTTCCTTTTTGCATTGAAACTTTTCTTTTGAACCAATGCAAACTCTCTAGCAATGGAAGTCACTCCTGGCAAGTGGTTTTGAGAAACTAGCACCTCATTGTATGGCTTTCCATATAGCTTTTAATATAGAAAAATTGCAGTAGCCCAGTGTAACTGGAATGGAAGCTGGTTTCTTTCATGCAGAAAAGTTGTTTGTTTGCTGGGGTTTTTTTAAAATAATATCCTGGTCATCAGGTGAATGATACCTGAGTCCTGTTAACATTCATGACAACAGAAATGCTTGCTGAAAACCTGTTCTGTCAAGACTATTCAGCTAGTATAAGATCCTTTTTTTAAAATTTTTTTTTAACTGCTAATCACTGATATTTTTATTAGCGGTTCATACCTCACAAATATGGATCTTCTAGAGTGTAGAACATACAGAAAAATGAGAGGTGAAAAATTCCAACCTTTCAAATAGGCTTCAAATGTAGAACAGTATTTTTTTTCTCTACCTAAAGGCCTATAATCAAAACAAGATTGCATCCTGTATTTTTTGGAAATTTTTCAAACTTTTCATGATGTATGACTTATTACTTACTTTCTCCTTTTTAGTAACTTGAATTGTTCTAAATAAATGCATTCTTTTGTACTTAAAAATGACATCTTATTTTAATATGCACTATTTATTTACTTATATGAATTCTTTCTCCTTTGTTGTTTTCCGGTTTTTGAAGACAGACTTTTGAGCCAAGTTCTTCTCTTCCTTCTTGGCTTCAGGCAGAATACAGCCCTGTATTTTCAGCTTTTAAGATTCTGAAAAGGTTGTCATCCTCCCCCTACAAATTATATCCATGAAGATCTGTAGTTACTTTCTTCAGGAGAACAAGTAAATTACATACCTGTAATTCTTGTTCTCTGGAGAAACTATTAAATACGGATCTTCCCTTATCTTTTCACTCTTATACTAAGGTCTTTCCTTTTAGTTTATTAGGAAGACATTTGTACATCTAGAAATGCCATTTGGCTTAGGATTTATCATCTGTGTCTTCCACAGTGATACGCACTTCATGCTCTCAGTAAGAGTCTTTAAAATCTTTTTTGAATGGTCTCTTTTGAAGAGTGCTCTGTCACCTGTGTTAGATCATGAAAACCCAAGATCTGTATTTAATTCTACTTTTGTACAGTGAACATTTCAGGTGAGTATTTAATATGCCTTCATATATAATCAATGGTTTCAGCCATATGTTTTTTTTCTAGATGCCAACGTGAACCTTAGCTAATGATTCACTTGTACCCCTATTCTATATACTAACTTGCCTCATATTGTGGTTTTTTACTGTGATATTTG